GGGGGGGGGGGGGGGTTTTTGGGGAGTGGAAGTCCATACATCTTAAAGTTGCCAAGGTTGAGAAGCACTGAACAAAGCCATCTTGTATGTCATGGCTTCTTCATGGATTAGAGCCAAATGCTATGGAACTGTTGCAAAGCCTCTCCTTGTGGAGTAGAGTTGGGAAAGGCAGTTTTGTTGTTTTGGACATTTGTAACACTAAATGGCAGAATAAAAGGATTCTCAACAAACAAGTGGATTGAAAGCAAAATAGAAAACAGGAAATCTGGTGTCCAGACAGATAGAATTTTACACAAGAGAAACTGCATCCACAGAGAAACTCCAAGAAAATGTGACTATGAAAAGCACAGGCAGAAGAGAAGTGATAAGACTAGGTACTTTCCAGGAGAAATACGTTAAATAAAGAAAGAAAATGAAAAATAACACAACAAAAGATTTTCTGGAGCTAAACAAAAAGAAAGAAAAGAGAAAAAGAAAATAAACACTAAGAGAAAGAAAAAATAAAGGGGGAAAAATCAGAAAAAAAGCATTGTGATAAAAATACAAGGAAAATTTGTGGTTAATCTTTCCTATCTATAAAGAACAATTCAATATTAATATCCTGATATGTTCATTCAAAGTATAGAGATGCTTACCTTTAACTACAATGGTCAGAGGATTACTGGATTTTTTTTTCTCCTCAACACTTAATTCACATTCATATTCTCCTGAAGAAGAAAATCTAGCCTGTGAGATTGTATACCGTGCGCTGTCTTGCTCAGTTGTGTTAGTGAACAGATGTTCACCATTCTTGAAAAATGAAAATGTATAATTCAGTTGGAAATGTTCATTCTTGCTAATGTCCACAGAACAGTTGAGGATGAGTGAATCTCCATTGTGCACTTCTGTATGTGGAAAAGCCTGGAGTGAAACTTTATTGATAGTGAACACTGGAAAAGAAGAGAAATGTTCATGATATTAGTTCCAGGAATAATCCACAAGCTGTTTTTTCCAAAAACTATTACATAGCATCCATACATCCAATACATTTTAATACGATGTTAGCTAGTTAAAGAAATCTGATTGGGTTAATAGAATATACTTGATTTGATTAATCAAAGAATTATACGATTGCATGCTTTAATTTGCATCTGAAATAAAATAATTGTATTAAAAAGGTGTCCTTTTCTGTTTTCACATGACAGATGTACATTTTGCATAAGAGCCATCTTAATGAATTCAGTCCTTTGAGAGAGGAAATGGAAGAGATGAGGAATGTCTCTGCTAAGACATATAAAATTCATTATAAGTCAGTTGATTGGATCACTGTTTTAATTGACCAAAATGTATTCTGTCTACTGAGCTAGCCTTCTCCAACTTGATACTTTCCTAAGCTGGGTAAAGATGATGAACTTGTAGTCCAAAACGTGTTAGATTGTGGAAGGCTATACTATGTCTTTGTGTAGTTGTATAACAGATTAGCCATCTTTCACTTGATGGTTCTAAATATCCAGCCTTACCTCTCACAGAAGGATTGTTTCAGCTCATGGAACAACTCCCTTGAGAGCATAACTGAGGGATTAATAAAAGAGAAAACCTGAGTAATCTAAGGGGGCTGTCCCTTACAATGAGGAGTGATAGTGAACCACCACCTGTAACAACTGTAAAGGAAATAGTGTCACATGGAAGTTGATGGATGCTATGGTCTTTGACTAACATAATGCATGCTGTGACAGCTACAGAAAAATACCTTTCTTCTAGCTAGCAGAGACAACAAAGTGGAATTAGAATACATGATTCTCGATTTCAAACACAGCTTTCTGACCACCTGTATCAGGACACTAAGATGGAGCTGACTTACTTTGATCCCCCTTTACAGCATCTAAAATCTGAATTATTCTATGGTCTTGGGACATCCAATTTGATTATTTCTATTGTCAAACGTAAATGGCAGCTAATCCTTATATTTAAACTTCTTAACTAGAGATACATTTTTGAATTCAGACATGTCATAAACCTTTCTCCCCTCTTCTGCTGCAGCATTTTAGGGTCTCTTCCAAATCTGCCTAGATGGTCTGGGGAGACTGGATGGTAGAGGTCTTGTTCCCCCAATCATCCCTCTTCTTCATTTTATTTATTTTTCATTTATTTCTTAATTTTAATGTATATGGTCATCCACTGATACCTGACACAAACAATAAAATAACCTGTAATCAAAAACAACAACAATTTAAGAGCAATTAAAAAGAGCTAATTTGATGTAGTGGTTAAGGCGGTTAGATACCAGGAGACTGTGAGTTCTTGTCCTGCCTAGGCACAAAGCCATCTGAGTGACCTTGGGCCTGTCCCTCTCTCTCAGCCCTAGGAAGGAGGCAATGGCAAATCACTTCTGGAATCTTGCCAAGAAAACTGCAGGGACTAGTCCAGGCAGTCGCCAGGAGTCAACACTGACTCAAAGTCACAAAACAAAACAAAACAAATCAAAAATCACCCAGTGCACCTGGAGGAACTCAACACAGAGACCCACAGAACACCAAGAGAGGCTCATCCCACAGCCTGGTCCAATGCCCTGCTTCCAGTGATGGAAGTAGTTCCATCATCAGAAGGGCTTGACTGGATTCCACCCAGAATGAAAAGGAAACCAACAAAAATGTGGATGATTTCCTTTCTATTTCTTAAAACTATATTAAAATAACTTCTGCACCAAGTGCTAAAAGAATAGTCCAACTGCTGGTAAATAGTCCAACAGCAGGTACAGGACAGTCCAATTAATAATAGGTAAATATGCCACTTCAGAAAGCCATGTGTGATGCAAGGGGCAAGTTGGAGATACTCCTGTACAGATAAAGGTGAAGGACTGGGTTTCTCTATAACCAGTTCACTATAACTCAGTCATGGGGAGGGACCTGAGATATATGTTTGCTGAGTGAAAATGACTGGGGATCTGACACTGGATCTTCCCAGTCTTATGCCAACACTCTAATAACATCACATTGTCTAATTATTTGTGGAAGAATTCACCTTGAAGACTTTTAAATATGAATATAATATTGTGTTACATCATGACTGTTATATCTGAAAGGAAGCCATAATCTAAGCTTCCCTGTGAAATTTATGATATCTCTGTAATCACTTGTTGTTTTAGAAACATAACAAATCATAGTGGAAGCAAATAGGCTCTTATACTAAGCAAAACTACTTCTGGAGCCATCAAGTTTAGTTTTTATTACAACTATATATCATTTATGTTTATTATTATTATTTATCAACTTGGTTGGTTGGATTGAGGTGATGCATACATTTCAGTAAAAAATAAAAATAAAATAAAACTCCTAATCTTGCAACTCATTCCCTAAACCACTGGTTCCCCAAAGCCTCCCCATGTTCGCTGCCAGTCAGCTAGCCAGATCAGACCCAGCTTGCTGTCTTAGCCACCACTTTCCTGAACCTGCTGCCAGACATGTGGCAATGGATCAGTGGCTGAAAACTAATTCACTGAAGGGTGCAAGTGATAATTCAAGCAGCATCATGACTCCTAAAATTCAGAAAACTGACAATAGTGAACAGGTCACAGTTATTAACTGTGAGTCCAAGTTGAACAGAGATTTTGCACAAGGAACCCAAAAAGAAAATGCAAATAGCAAGTGTAGTTATTAGGCTCCAGTGCATTTGGAGATCCATTCTCCCCTAGCTGATTTCTACTGAGGAACATTATTGACCAGCAAATTTGTACTAAGAGTTGTTGTTACTGGATGCATAAAATTATTCAACTGGTAGTAAATACATACTAAATTTTAAATTGACTTTTTGATGCAAAATTTGGCTAAGAAAGGTCAGGGGAGGGAGTGGAATAGGAAGGTATACCCAAATGCAATGTTCCTATCCACCAAACAGTGAATTACTCTGCCCTTAAATATGAAAATAAAGGAAGGGGAGGTTGTTCAATTGAGGAGTCCCCACATTTTTTAAACAAAAATTATTGAATGGTCCATGATTGCAGAAAGTTTGAGAAACTGTCATAATCAATCCTGCCCATAATTCTTATCTCCCAAGCTTTCATTCCAGCTGAAATCCCCCACTTCCTGCCTGATTCTCTCTGCCTCTTCCTTACAAAATCCCTTTGGAATATGGCTATACATATTAATTTTATTATTTTGTCCATGGCAGGAATGTAGGTTGATGAATTAGTTATAGGTCATTTCCGCACTAGTGACTCATCACATCTTCATAGCGGCATCCAGCCATTGTGAAGTGATATACAGCCTGTCCTTGCTACTGTTACTTTGGCACAAGAATGATTGGATGATTCTAGAGGATGCTATAAATTACTAGTGCGGAAATGACTTCAGTATCTTTCTAGAGAAAGCTTTCCAGGTGTGTGCTATCAAGCCCTTGTAGAGTTTTTAAAAAAACATTTTCGGAGTGATCTCTCTGTACCATCATTACCACCCTGAGGTGGATCTGCTTATTTTGCCTAAACTAGTGAGCAGGTGCCAGGAAAATTTGGAACTTGACTGATGCTAAACTGGCCAATCCACAGAACATATTGCAGGTCTTTCTCCCTGCGATTAGGGCAAGGTGAGAACTAATTGTTTGCAAATAAAAACTCTTGAAAAAGTATTGGGAAGTCAGCAAGGGACAGTGTATTCCTCTCTGCAGAATGAAAATTAAAGGGAGCTGTTTCCTCCCATTCCTGTCTATTGTAAACATAACACAAACTTGCTTTTCGTAATCCGAGGAACCTGCTGAGGGGAGAGCAGAAGAGAGCACCTATGCCTTGGAACTGACTTGGATTTTTACAGCTGATCTTTCAAAGCAGTGGAAATGGGGTGAGGGGGAGAAAAGAAAGATTGCCCTTCTGGAAGTGCCAAGTGACTTTCTTAAAAGTCTTCCAAAGTTGTAGAGACAGCTGGAAGATCAGGAGAAATGCCAAGTCTTTGGATGCCATTAACAGAATAGCTGCTATTGGGAAAAGACATTAGAGATGTCTGGACCTTTGACAACTGCCACCAATAGATCACTTTCCACAGGGAAAAACTGTGGAAAATTTTCCTTACGCAGAAAGAATATTTAAGCATGAATTAGGCATAGCTTGGGAGCTGAATCAGGTACATTTGAGGTTAATTAAGCACTCTAAGGCTACCATGCCAGCTTGTTTACATTAAACAGGAGTAACCTCGAAAGAGGCATCACTTCAGTTGAGTTTTTGCCCCATAATCTTGAGAGCATTCCCGTGGTTCATTAACAGTTGGGTTGGGTTGATATCGGATACTGTTGGCAAAGCAACTTATATCAATTAAGGATGAAAGCTCTGGAGTGGGGTCTGGGTTTTTCAGATTAAGACAAAATTGTGCTGTCTGCTGTTTATAGTGGCACTGCTGCAGCTAGATAATTTTAGGCTCTGAGAGCGTTCTAGAAGGCTATAGATATTCCTTTTGTAAAATGGACCTGTGCCTGGTTTCCTTCTCCCCTACCCAGCTGCTGTTCCATTGGAATAGCAACTACTGATGCTCCATTCCTGATAAAAGCAAAAACCAGACAAAAGGTCGTTTTGCCAGTTCTGACTGAAACAAAAATAATACCTTTAGCATACGAAATCTCATGTCTTAAATTGACTAAAACCAAGGTCAGCTTCCATACCGGGAACAGAAGTTGGATATGACATTTGCAGCCATTCATTTCCATTCAGGAAGCCTAAACTTAATCTCCATACCTAATTCACAAAAGGGGCTTTGCTCAGAAATGGTGTCCAAACAAACAAAATGTGCATTATAGCTGGTTACAGTACAGTATATTGTAATATGCCAGGGAATTTGCAGGGAAGCTTCTGGCAGGAATTTCTTGATCTTGGGGATTGGTCACTGCTTCTGGGCTGGTGCCATGCTGCTCTGATCCTATGCCTGTCACCACTGGGCCAAGCAGCCAATTTGCTTCCCACTTAGTTATGACT